AAAAAAAAAAAAACGTCATTAAGTTTTGATCCTTCTTTTACCATTTTAACATGAGTGTACTTGTTCACTTTCTGGGCAATATAGTAGAATCATGAACATAAAGATGCCTTGACTTAAGTGATCCTGTTCGTTCCAGTGCTGTGATCCCTGCTCAAATGTAAATGTCTGTACTTGTTATGTCTTATGTCTGTTTCAACTTTCCAACATCTGCCTTTCAGGTTTGAATTTCTTACATTGTTGCAGTGAAATATTGTTTTCAGGACATTTTCATTATTATTTACTCTGTACAGGTATAACTTACCAATACATTTTCTCATCATCTACTTGTCTGTGTGAAGGATCGTAAGGGGTGTCCTCTGGTGCTTGTGTGACATATTGGCAAAACTTTCCAACACTCTCACTTATTTCCAAGGAATTTCTATTGTATCTGTGCACTTGTTGGATTTGCTATTTAAAATATATAAATTAATGTGCTGAGTAACTTAAAATATTCAACTTTGATAAACTGTTGTTCTAATGGAATTAGTAATTTTTTAAATAGTGATACTTGAGAACTGAGAAGTAAAGAGTGTAAAATTGTTGTGATAGTTAGATGTACTTACGTTTAAATGTGGATGTCTAATGTATTGAAGACTTATGTTATTTTTGTAATGGTTATGATGAATTGCCTCCTCACAAAAGGTAACAGATTTTGGATTCGCCAAGAGGGTGAAAGGCAGAACATGGACCCTTTGTGGAACACCAGAGTATCTAGCACCAGAAATTATTCTAAGCAAGGTAAAAAGATTTATTTTAATGAACTGATCTTTGTTACTTAAGGGGAGAACAACTGTTTGTTATAGTGAAAAAAACAAATGACGATTTTCCCATGCTTACCAATAGTTCTTGAATCCATCCCAACATTCAAAGTTAGTCCATGTTTTTTTTCTTAAAAGCTTTTTTATAAATGATGCATGGAATATGTTTGTCATGTGAATATTAACAACTGACAGCTGAAGGTGTTTATTAGGAAGATATATAGGACTTCCATGTCTATTGATACTTGTTATATCCTTGCATCTGTTGGGATCACATCTCAAGAGTTCAATATGATATCACTGGTGTAATTTGGGTGCACATGTTAGCTGCCTTTGACTGTAGAAATCCCAATAGTCCCAACAGAGTAATGCATATGTATCATTTATTGATCCCTCTGCTATCTGTCTACTACTCTAGTTGCTAGATGAATCAACTCATTAATGCTGTGGGCAGTGTCAGTTTACTATTGGTATTTAAACTGTCAATATACTGGACTGCTGTTTACATTGCTTTTTATGGCAAGGGAGAATTTCCATATTGATGCCTCATAAGATATTGGCCCACTTGTCAATGAATATTGGCCTGTAACCTTTTGAATATTTGTGGGGATTTAAAGGGATAATAACTCTTCGTATGAAATCTGCATTTCACAATAAAAACATTGTGAGTGACTCATAAAAATATAATATATTCTGCTTTCCCACAAAAACGGCTGTTATAGCTATTATTCTGATATCTGAGCTTGTCTTTAGACCACGTGACCTCCATTGATGGCTATACTCTGTTAAAATCTCTTAAGAGATTTTAACAAAAAACCAAACTTTTTAGAAAAAAAACAGGGACTAACTTTGAATGTAAAAATGGATTCATTAACCATTGGTAAGTATGGGAAAATTGTTGTTTACTCCAGGAAAATTCATTTTTTGGCCGAAACGAAGAGTTATTATCACTTTAACAGTATCTTGAGTTCATGTGCCCTTAAGTGTACATACATACCTCTGCCAAAATAAGAAAAACTATTTGTGATTAAGAAGTATATGTTTAACTTTTAATTTAGGGCTACAACAAAGCAGTTGACTGGTGGGCCCTAGGAGTTCTAGTCTATGAAATGGCAGCAGGTTACCCACCTTTCTTTGCAGACCAACCTATCCAAATCTATGAGAAAATTGTGTCAGGCAAGGTAAGATCAATGTTGGCTAGTAGCACATATTTTTGTAAATATACTTTTTAAAAAAATTAAGATGTTATTTCTTTCATCATCATTTTGAAGGTTTTCTAAATTGCTGTGGCAAACGAGACACCGTTGCCATCTTTATCCATGCATATAGTCTATGCCCTTTTGACACAATTCCATTTTTAGTTCTATTGTTGTAAATATTACAAGCAATATATAAATGTATTTTGAAAACTTCTGTTTTAATTCCTGATCAAAATATAATATGGTTTGTTGCTTTATTCGTGTCTGTGTTTTTTATTTTATTTTATTTTTTTAATCACAAGTTTGTTTCTTTCCCCCTCTCCAGGTGAGGTTCCCATCCCACTTCAGTTCAGATTTGAAAGATCTACTGCGGAATTTACTTCAAGTTGACTTGACCAAGCGCTATGGAAATCTGAAGAATGGTGTAAATGATATCAAGAACCACAAATGGTTTGCCACAACAGACTGGATTGCCATTTATCAAAAGAAGGTAGTGACATTAGAATTCTGTTTTGGTTATCTTGTTGGCAAATAGTGAAGTGTTTGATTAACCTATATGATGTAGTTACTATCTAATCAAGCAAACATTGACCTCATTTGTCTCTTAAAGTAAAGAGAGCAAAGTCTGAAAGTGCCCTTCATGTTATTGATTCTTAGTATTTTTGAATTGGTGCTTGTAAAGTGAATATGAACAGTTGTAGAATATGATTATGAGCTTAGATATTAAGCATTTTGCATTGAGTCATTGTATCAAATACTTTTGTAACATTTTGTTCACTCACAACAAATTTGTAGGATAATATCTGAGATACTGTGATACTATTGAGGTCTAACCCTCCAATACTGATATAGCAGGCTTAACTAGCTGATACAACTTTTCAAAAGAGAAGTGTCCTGTCTTCTGGAAGTAATTGGGATCTTAATGCTCTCAACATGGCTATACAAAACCTGGCTGTCCATTCCTTAATTTAGTATGTTTGCTGTTTGTTTGCAGCTTTCTTGGTAAATTGATAGACTCGGAACCACAAATAATGTCCATTGTTAAATTTAAAAACATAACACTGAAATGATGATCTGGCAGCCATGAGCTGAAATTGGATTCCCACTTGAATACAGTGAATGATTTCATCACTAATTTGGTAATGTCTGTTGGCCAGTATATTGACAGGAAACTTTTCACAGTACAAATATTTTCTCTAAGTCACTATGTTATTTTCTGTGGGCTTATGGGCATAAAAATTTGGCAGGATGAAGTTTGCATGGTCTTAGCAACTATTTTTCTGACCTTATGTATGTGTGTTCTCTTTCACAAATCAGGAAAAAGTTCCTTATAAACCTGAAAGAGTAAATTTGGAAGGTCCAAAGGAGCTTGTGGCAAAGAATTTTGATGATTATGAGGAAGACCGTAAACTTTTCAAGATAGCAGTCGAAGAAAATTATCCTGAAGTGTTTGAGGATTTCTAGAAAGGTTTCAAGTTTAACTTACCCCCATCCCCAATCTTCAAGCACTGCTAAATTGTTGGCATTTAATTATTTGAATCACAAAATCAAAATTTTCCTGTTCCAAAAAATTTGCAAAAATGCAAAAGCAAATAATAAAAAAAAAAATTCTGCTTAATTTTCAATTTCCATCATTCTGTGATCTAAGTATGATATTTTTTGTTCAAGTGGAATGATTTTCTTCTTGCTGCAGCTGTTGATAATGAATTCTGTTGCTCATAAATTTTACAGGAGATTTATCTGGTGCATGGTTGCATTTCTTCTTCATCAACTTGGTTTTTGCCTTTTTTTACTGAAATAAATATAAATCACAGGTGCTAATAAATATGGGGTCTTCAGAGCTTTCAAGCAATATCAAATCTTTTGCACACTAACATTCTTGATTGCTGAAATTATCCCTAGCTTTCTATTCTATGTTTTTATTCTTAATATGCTGACTCAACGTTGGCTCTTTTTTTTTTTTTTTAAGAAGAAATGTCATCTGTCTGACATCATTGAACTTGACTTTGTTTTTCCTCTATACGTTTTAACCAAACAATGAAGATAATTTGAAAGTATTCAGTATCATTTTTTGTATGAAAACACATTTTGATTTTCTTTTTAGGTTGAAGCACCTTTCATTCCCAAGTGCAAAGGTCCAGGGGATGCTAGTAATTTTGATGATTATGAGGAGGAACCACTTAGGATTTCTTCGACGGAGAAATGTGCAAAGGAGTTTGCAGACTTTTAGACAATTAATTTGATGGGAAAAAATTACAGATTGTAGTATCTTTCTTGTCATGCACCTTACACTGACTGTCACCTGGCATTATTGTGATGACCTGATGGTGATGCACCAGTTATTGACTTTCTCTACGAAGGTGCAATATTTTCTTCAGAGTAATTTGATCTGGAATGTTCCCTGATAAATTTTACAGAAAGGCGGCCTAAATGTGAAAGATAGAGGTGGTAGGTTGTTGTTGATTTCTGCTGAAATTTCTGTCCAGATGTGCATGTGAGCTGTTACAATTTACACCATTTACAGTAGCCTTGCTGCTAATATCAGTGAGAAATTTCCTTCTCCCCTAAGCAATTAGATGTAAAATCATTTCTGTCTAAAAATAAATCGGAAATATCTAGTATTCAAGAATACCTCAGGTGAGAATCTGTCTTTAAAAGGCATTTGCACATTTTCAAGAAATATATATGTATACAGTCATAATATATAAACCTAGTGTTCAAGCCAAATAATAGACCACTCATCTTATTGAATCAATGTCATTTTTCCCTTCTTGTATAATGTGAATATGACACCCAAGACAAAGTTTTGGTAAATTCTAGGCAGATGAATCCAATAAATAGTCTAGACATTCGATTAAATGTTAATAAAATTTTTGATTGATAAGTTGTATACATGGAGCTATAAGTCTTACATATTGTTATAAGTTAAGTACAATCTCTTATGTTCACATTATTATTTTAGAATGAAAAATGAATAATTCAGTTTTCAAAGAAGAAAATGATAACAGTTTAGTTTTATACACCATACAAGATAGATATTATTTACTTAAATGTGAATTAGTAATAGACATAGTAGTAGTCTAATCAACTGGTGCCTAAATTGTTCTCCTTCATCCAAGGAGACCTCTGCGACTTACCAACAGCAGGAAAAAAGTTTATATAAGATGACCAAAGTAAAATGGTTAGAAATTATTGGTTGTGCATGTTATCTAGTCTCGATTTTTATGCTTGGTCTTTTGAAAAAAAATTAGTTGTCAGCTTTGTAAATACCGTAGTTTGAAAAAAAAATGGTGTAAAACCATCAGTAAGGTTCAAATGTATATTTTATTGCTTTAACTATGTTGTAATACTTTCATTCATTTTTGTCAGGTCCCAGTTTTTTTCCTCCAAGCCAAAGGTTATACCACTGTTGTAATAGAACATACAAGGCTTCTAGTCACATGTATGTGGAGAACATTTTGAACAACAGTATGGTTCTTTTTATCAGTAGCCAAAATGTTCGTTGATAATTTCTCTTGCCAATTGAGCTATAGATAATGTTTTTCAAAAGCGTATTTAAGAAAAAGCTTGCTTTGCAGTGGTGGCAACCATAATGCCACTACATTTGTGCAGTCTTTTTTCTAATCATAAGGAGTGACGACATATATGAGGAAAGTTTTTAGTATAAAAGGGCTATTTGATGTGTGCTCACTCAGTGATGTTAATTGTATATTCTGTCAATATTGTTCTGATTAATTACAGTTAGTTGCCGTATTTACGGTAATATTCATGTATTACTTTTTAATGATGTCAATAAAATGTTTTATGAATGTATATTGTTCATCTTTGTATTCCTTGCAGGTTTACACTGACATATAGAGGACTCATAGGAAAAAGTAAAATCTCATAAAATGTAGAAAAACCATGAGGTGTCCACCATCGATTTATTGTAAATTAAACCTGTCTAAACGGCAATTTGTGAATGTAACTGAAAAAATCCTAACCTTGTTTTTTGGTTTAGGACAGAGAGTAGGTTTTATGGAGTATATTCAAATATATACCCTCAGTAGACCCAAAAAGTAGTGGAAAATAATCCAAGTTAAAATGCCGAAAACTAGTATCGTTAATCATTCGCCAGGAACATTTTCATACTTCGGCCTCGTTTAAAATGTACCTTTTTGTCATGACATGATACGAAGAACGAGACTGCAATTTGGAGTATGACATTAAACGAGGTCACATTGGCTTCATAACCTCTAAAACTGTAAACGATAGTATGGACTATCTTTTCTTCTTTCGAGCATATAATTTTAATGCATATTAGAGGGAAATATAGAGATACACAAAACTATGTTTGAATATATGAATCTATGAAATGTAAACCTTCAACTGCTGATTGCGGTTCGAGATTATGAAGGTTTTCATCATGGCGGACAAACTAAGTTGACCTATTTTTGATCCAGAATGTTTTCCGCAACATTGTGATTGCATTTTTAAAAGATATTTTGCTCATTTGCCTTATGTGCTGAATTAAGGCATTATGCTAGTGGTTCGCTAGACATGGAAGTAAATGAGGAACACGTCTCCACGCTTTTGAGCATGGGGTTTCCCAGCGAGAGTGAAGTAAGGCGGGCACTTCGACTGGGCAAAAACGATTTGAATGAAGCTGTAGCATTTTTGACCAACGAGGCACCGGGTTCAAGTTTTGACACGTTAGAAGAGTTGGATGTCGAAATGAAAGATGATCAGGCAAATAAGCAGGCGACTACATCGCCTGTTTATGGACCCGCTCCTCCCCCAAGTTATGATGAGGTCGTTGATCATGAGCAGGTAGGTGTGGCAACAAGCTCTGCAGCACCACGTTACACATTGTCCTGCTTGTTAAAGAGAGAGAAAGGGAGAATAAAATAAAATAAATTCACTTGGTTAAGAAGTGAATTTACATATATCCACTCTTTCGGCAGTTGTGGCTTTGTCCATCATTTAAAGTTGACTCTGCTACGGCTACTACAGGGGACTACTACTACTACGTTACTGGCCTGGGGGTCTCCCGAAAAATAATGCTCAGTACACCGTGACGTGCAACACAGGGCAATGCACTGGAATAAAGGAGTCTTGTCACAAGGAAACCCAGGAAATGGAAGTTTCCAATAAAATAGGGTGATATAAAAGCTAAATATATTACTAGGTAATTAATTAAGATAATTGATGCAACTTAAATTGGTATGATTTGTTTATGTCGGCTCGTCCCCTAGCATATAATATTGCCAAGAAGAACCACAGTCCAAAACAGCGGACAACGATGTAAACATCACCTGCATGTGATTTTCAGACTACAATTTTTTTCACAATCAAGAAAAACAAGGCATAGTGGGATCGAAATATTAGTTATTCTAGGAAATAAGTTCGGAGGGTTTTCAGTACTTTTGCTAGTCATCTGTGCATTTATGGTACTAACTCATTCAGAGTACAATAAATATGCAAGATGTCAGAAGGATATTATTGAAAATGTAAAAAGTTAAACAGAGATCATTCCCATTTTCTTGGGGAGGGGGGGGGGGGGAGAACCTGTAGAGGTAAAGAAAATTTACAAAATAAAATGAGGGTGTTAAATTTCAAATAAAAAATTAAAAATATCAATATATAATTTAATGGAGCTCATAGACATTTGTTAAAATGTAGATGAATTATTTATTTTAGTATCTTTTATATCAGTAGGAAAATATGGCAATTTATAACCATTAATTTGGTTACAAGCCAGGTGATAACATCCAATTCTTTATATGACATTCTCACATTAAAATCATTGTTATCTGTTAATGCATATCCAGCACAAACAATATCTATATCTACAAAATTATCTTGTTAACAATTGCATGCATTCATAAATGCCCTTTATATCATAATGCCTTGTTAATGCTGCCTTGACAGCACCTATATTTATAAGCATTCTTGGATATATGTATAAGAATAACTGTGGTTTATAAACTCCAGATGAATGTCCTGCTATGCTCTAAGTTTATAGCAAATGCATCTGTCCCCTTCATCCAAAAGATGTTTTTAGTAGACCTCTGCATACATGTACATTTATGTATTTAAATTGGATATTGAGAAGAAATAGGATATAGATTCAATGTTTTATAAACTAAAAGTAAAGTAAAATAAAGTAATGCTCTTATATGCTGCACTACATGTGTCTCAGAGTGAACTACAATGGACGCCTGGTCATTTTTGGCCCTGATGCAAACTGGGTGTTGGTACTCTCGCCTCGCTGGGAGAGGGGGGGGGATACAGCCAAGCACTGGAAGCTAGCTAACCAGCATGGCATTCACTGCCAGACCACAAACTGAACCCCCGGTTCAACTTCTAAGTGCTGAGTGTCATGCGGGGAGACAGCAGGTAGCCTTTTATGACAGACTGGCATGTCTGCGAACCGGGTCGAACCCACATCCTCCTGCTTTGGAGGCTGACACTCTGACCACAAGGCCCTCCAGTTTATAAATGCTTTTTTTTTTTTTTTTTTTTTTTTTGCATGTTTGTTATTGGCAAATGTTGATTTGTGAATTTTTGTATTTCAGAAGGAAGTTTCTAAACCAGAAGATGGAGCTGAAGAAAACTCTGAAGAATCAAATGAGTTTCCAGTAACAAACCTCTATGAACTTGAAGGCAGAGTATTTACAGATAACTGGTCTATTCCATACAAAAGAGAAGAATCTTTAGGCAAATGCCTCATTGCTGCAACAAGGTTTGCAGCAAATGGTATGTAAATTTTCTGACCTTAACTCTGTTATGTAAAGAACATGGCATATACTGTTTTTTTTATTTTAAAATGAATTCTCTGTTTGAATTATTTATTTATTTTTATAAATATGCTCTGTTTTTATTTAAGTGTTATGACAGAAAAAGAAGTTG